TATTGCAGAATTGGTGGACTTAGGCGCATTCCTTGAGATTGAAGATCTGCCTGCAAGGCCACATCGCCGGGTGACCCGGGCACGATCGGTGGAGCCACCTTACACATCAAGAGATGAGACATGGTGACAGTGTCTTATCGCGGCCCTAAGTCCGCAAATGACCTTTTATAACTACAGGGAAATGGCTAATAGGTCAGCTTGGCAGCTCATGGACTGGCTGGTAGGAAACAGGTCGCAACCCCACGTACAATGGATCTATCAGCGGATGGTGTTTTTTTCCGTATTTGGGATGCTTCGTCAACTGGCATCTTCACAGATCAGTCTATTGTCATTTATCGCAGTTGGAAAGTCCATTTAGGATTGCTCGGATAGCTCCCGGAATAGGTACCAGCGAAACAAACAGCGTTGGATTTGTTGACTGAGCGTTAAAACAGCAAATACGAAGCCTCCTGTCATGTTATAAAATTGTAGATTATGTTAGCTTTAGTGTACCTATAATCTTAATTTTATTAATGACAGGAGGCGAGTATTTCCCACCCATTCTTATCCCTCCCTTGTTTAATTTTAATAGTTTGGTTAATCAGGTACGAATGCAACTCTGCTTATTGTCTCTGCTACCTGTCACCTGTTCTTATGTTTGTTTTTTCATAAGTAGGGTTGGGATATCTACATATTAAAGGTACTTTTGGTTGCTACATTGGGTACCTACATGTTTATTCAGAGTACATTTCATTGGATAATCAACTTGTTCGATTCTGTTTTTCTCTCGTTTCAGTTTACAGTCCATGAACGCTGTTCTTCTCGGATGGTGGACATCGTTGTATTAATTGTATCTAGGACTTCGTTTCTTCCCATTATTTTTTCTGCCTTTGTTCTGTTTTTGCCGCAGCTTGAAAGAGGAAATGATGCATGGGGAGGGGAGTTTTATAGTACCTAACTTTTTTCTGATTGGTTGTTTTTCTGTGCTGCTGTGGAGTTCTAGTAAAGAGAGACTTAAACAAATACTCGCCTCCTGTCATTAATAAAATTAAGATTATAGGTACACTAAAGCTAGCATAATCTACAATTTTGCATTACAATCCAAAAATAATTTAAAAATTCTCAGCACTTTTACACAGGTTGTTAGTAACATGTTACTTTAATCAATACATTGTTGTTGATCCAGCACGAAATCAGAGCAGAGTCAAGAAGAAGCATGTTGCAATTTGGGGAGAGTTTGGGTCCCTAATAAATGTGATAGTTTGTAGCCTTTGAATTTCTGTCTTTTTTCATTCTAAGTTACTATGTTACTATCAGAAGGTCGGATTGCCTCATTAGGCCGGACCAAGGAAATTATTTTGTTAGTACTGATCCTGATAGTGTAATTTGAGAAACAATGTCATACACAATTATCATTATTATTTAATTTGATTCTCAATAGATCAGATAAGGCATATAGCCTTTCAGATAATGGTGTAGCTGTCATGGATGAAGAGTAATTAAATGCTTATTGCACAGGACATATAGCATGACTTCAGCAAACATTTCTGGTTTTGCTAACCCTCTGACTGCCAAGTGGATCTGGAGAAGACAAATCTATTGCCTTCTACTGGATCATCTAAATGGTTAAAGATTTGCAAAGTCACAGAAGTCAATTGCAATTTTCAGATACGGAGCCAAAAAAAGTAACGCCGGTGTTTTATGGTAGGATATTTGCTAGACTGATGATCTTCATGTACGTGGTTAAATGTCATTGTGTACTATAAAGAGAATTTCTCCAGGGGGCATGCATCTGTTCAGTGACAAGCAAGATTGCAGGCTAGAGAGGTAGCTTTATGATCTGACAAAGTGATCCTCCCAGCTCACACAAAAAAGCAAGCAATCCTTTTGTTATATGGGGCTGTAAAATCGGTCTACGGAGAATTCACGACTACTGGCGTCAAAAGTGAAACATTGGCCATTTTAATTTATTGGGCACAGGTATAGAACAGTCTCATGAAGACTGGTGATTGTGCCTTTAAATCAGCACTGGATGACCTCATTTTCTGTTTGCTTCATATCAGTAACTCTTAGCTGGCCTAAAAGACATTGGCATCAATGACAGCACTAGATTAGAAAGCACAGAACTCTAGTTACAGCTCCCAGAGTCCTCATCTTATTGAAGATAATTCACGCCTAGCAACCGAACACAATAATGATTTTTTGCATAGAACTAATCAGCTAGTTTCCCAAGTGTCTGTGAAATTTGCGTTTTTAAGTACATCTGTTGTGCAGTCATGACATGGGTGCTGTTTAAAGGGACAAAATATGCACCCACCACTTCATCTCAATAAACTGGTCTGGACGCCATGTCACCCCCATTCAGCAGGAAAGGCAATGTTTCTATTGCAGGGTTTAAATGCTTCTAGAGGCTCTCACCGAGTCAAAATCTACAGAGACCATCGGATTGGAGCAGGGAGTGTTTTATTGCGCATGTGCACTAGCCTCCCAATGTCTGCCAAAGAGGCTGGCTGGCAGTATGGAGTGGGAAAAAAAAGTAAACTACCCTTTGTACTCTCTTAGGTGGGGGCCAGTAAACTAAACAGCTTGATATATCCTCTCCCAGCATCATATAATATCCAACACAACAAAGCGGTTATGTGCTTTGAGACCTGTATTTTTTTTGTTTGATGTAAAACTCCATTTGAAGTGGTCCTGGACTCAAAATGATGCCCAGGGCCCTGAGCAGTCACCTCTGGTAAATCTATTCATGCCAGTGTACTGGTGGTAATCTCTTAAACCTCTTCTCAAAGCTACAGCCAGGAGGACAAGGTTACAGTAGTGTCTAGATGACAAAAACTAGAAATTGAAGAGTAGAAGCCCGTCACCTGTTGTGATAGATGGATATATTGCTGGTACTGTCCGTATATGGTGTAAACTGTATCCATGCATAGTCAATATACTAACTGAATAAAATAGGCGCTTAAAAAATAAAAATTAAGAAAATTATAAAATTATCCAGCTGCTTCTCATTCATGCACTTCACCGCCTTAGTGATACAACAATAAGAAACTAGACACATAGGACACAGAGAAGCACATTCATCCACAGAAAACAACCCTGCCCCCCATCCTCTCCCCAAGTGGAAACATGCATATAGTATCACTGGTTCTTAATCGCTCTGTGAATAAGAATCAGTGGTATTGTATGCATGTTACCACTTAAGGGGGTTTGTGGTCTGTAGATGATCGCACTCCACTGTATCAGATTTCTCTGTATGAATGCACCGATCAGCGATACAAGGTGTCAACCATACAAGCTGGTGCTCTGAAGATGTGAATAATGTATTAGTGACACATATAAGGTCTCCGAATACCAAATGAGCATCATTAGAAAGGAACGGAACACTTGACAAACATTGTAGAACCAAAAAACAAACAAGTGTCCTGCACATCCAGTATAGGTGTGCACACCCAGGTACTACCACAATTTATTTGAGGACAAAGTTAAAGCAGCAAATGTTTCGAGCAGTAGCCCTTTCTCAATGCTAATGTCCTTACATTGTAGACCAGAAGCAACACAAACTGCACATTTTCAATTTTGCTTTTCCCAGGAAAATTATGAAACTGTTAGAAAGTTATCATCATTATGGAGGTTTCCTTAAAGTCAAATGGGTGCATATTCTCCAGATCTCGAGCGAATAGAACAGCTTTGTGATAAGGGACTGCTTTCAATAGGAAGAGTTGGAATTTAATTTTATACTTTCCTGAATATACATTGGTTTTGGGGGCAAAACAGATTCCTTGTACCCTTGTGTGGTTGGTAGGTGCTGTTTTAACCTTTGACCACATTCTATTATTCGATAATTGCTTGCGGGCAGCCATTAACATCTATGTCATTGAAATCACAATCACATAATTTCAGTGTCTTTCGATAACACTTTAGGCGTTCTGTTCTGCGGAAAAAGGGTCTTATAACTTGCAGCCAGTGTCAAGCGTCAGCAATCACTGTAGATGGGATTTATCAACACATATAGAGAGCCATTCCATATTGAACCTAAAAAGACTTGATAAACTACAGTAAACAATTTTCAACAAATCAGCGAATACTCCAAGAATGTTCAAACTTAAAGGACACTCTGAGCACAAACAAGTTAGGTGTCTTTGATAGTTTTTGGCCACATACTCACGCTGTGGTTTTCTCCCTGTTCAAATCTCTTTAGCTTTATTAAAAAAAATATGAAATATGCAGCTTCCTGGAGCATATTCTATACTTTTAGCCATGCTTTCTCCTTTCAGAAAATAACTTCCTTATTAGATGTATTCTGTGTACATACATAGCTCAGCCAAACAGAGATCAGGCATGACTTCCACAACCAATCACAGTCTACTGGTTACCTGTGTAGTATTTCAAAACCTTGTTAAAGGGTAGGGGTACACATAATAAGAGGACTCGGGTTGGCCCTTTGGCAGAGTGATGTCAACAGGTCAACTACTGAGCACGTACTCAAATACATCTAAGGAAGCAGATTTGTTAAAATAGGGAGCATAGATAAAAAACATGATTTGAATGTGAAAAAATTAAAATAAAAAAAATGAATGACTGAGTGAGACAAAAAAATTCTCTTAATTTACATTGGTGTCTTCAGTACGACTGGAGAGTCCTTTTAAAAATGCACATAGGCAAAAACAAATAATATACATCTTATCATATACAGTGAGGGGAAAAAGGTATTTGATACCCTGCCGATTTTGAACGTTTGCCCACTGACAAAGAAATGATCAGTCTATAATTTTAATGGTAGGTGTATTTTAACAGAGAGAGACAGAATACCAAAAAAAGAATTCCAGAAAAACGCATGTCAAAAAAAGTGATAAATCGATTTGCATGTCAATGTGTGAAAGAAGTATTTGATCCCCAATCAGCAAGATTTCTGGCTCCCAGGTGTCTTTTATACAGGTAACGTGCTGAGATTATGAGCATTCTCTTAAAGGGAGTGCTCCTAATCCCAGCTCGTTACATGTATGAAAGACATCTGTCCACAGAAGCAATCAATCAGATTCTAAACTCTCCACCATGGCCAAGACAAAAGAGCTGTCCAAGCATGTCAGGGACAAGATTGTAGACCTGGAATGGGCTACAAGACCATTGCCAAGCAGCTTGGTGAGACGGTGACAACAGTTGGTGCGATTATTCGCAAATGGAAGAAACAAAGTAACGTTCAGTCTCCCTCGGTCTGGTGCTCCATGCAAGATCTCACCTCATGGAGTTTCAATGATCATGAGAACAGCGAGGAATCAGCCCAGAACTATACGGATGGATCTTGTTAATGATCTCAATGCAGTTGGGACCAGTGTCACCAAGAAAACAATTGGTAACACACTACGCAGTGAAGGACTGAAATCCTGCAGCGTCCGCAAGGTCCCCGTGCTCAAGAGGTTTGCCAATGAACATCTAAATGATTCAGATGAGAACTGGGTGAAAGTGTTGTGGTCAGATGAGACCAAAATCAAGCTCTTTGGCATCAACTCAACTTACCGTGTTTGGAGGAGGAGGAGGAATGCTACCTATGACCCCAAGAACACCATCCCCACCATCAAACATGGAGGTGAAAACATTATGCTTTGGGGGTGGTTGAGGGATATGACAACTGCACTGCATCAAAGGGACGATGGACGGGGCCATGTACTATCAAATCTTGGATGAGAACCCAGGGCATTGAAAATGGGTTGTAAATGGGTATTCCAGCATGACAATGACCCAAAACACACAGCCAAGGCAACAAAGGAGTGGCTCAAGAAGAAGCACATTAAGGTCCTGGAGTGGCCTAGCCAGTCTCCAGACCTTTATTCCATAGAAAATCTGTGTAATGAGCTGAAGGTTTGAGTTGCCAAACGTCAGCCTTGAAACCTTAATGACTTGGAGAGGATCTGCAAAGAGGAGTGGGACAAACTCCCTCCTGAGATGTGTGCAAACCTGGTGGCCAACTACAAGAAATGTCTGACCTCTGATTGCCAACAAGGGTTTTGCCACCAAGTACCAAGACGAATAGGTCAAATACTTTTTACACTTGTTGATAAGCAAATCAATTTATAACTTTGACATGTATTTTTCTGGATTGTTTTTTGTTATTCCGTCTCTAACTGTTAAAATACACCTACCATTAAAATTATAGACTGATCATTTCTTTGTCAGTGGGCAAACGTTCAAAATCAGCTGGGGATCAAATACTTTTTCCCCTCACTGTATGGCAACATAAAGTATACAAACACTTGTTTGATTGATGCAAATAAAATGCAAAGAAGCACTATTACACAGATACAATTATAACCGTTACTTTATCTCCCTGGCACCACGTCTCTCAGCCAGTCAATGTCGTCCAATTTGGACAAGACAGACACTGACACAGCAGCGTTATTTCTATATTATCAATGAAGCCAAGAGCAACACTTTGTTTATATCAATCTGTTCCTAAAAGATTTGATATTAAACTAAAACTACTCTAGATAGCAGCACCGCTCCAGTAAGTTGCAGGGTTTAGGTTTCTTACAGTGCATCTTCAAAAAGGAGCATCACTCATATCAAGGTCTATTTGGAAGACAACAGGTTAATGACACACGTCACCACTACTGTGCTATTTTGTCATTAACCTCTCAACCTGTGCATATTAATCTCAAGATTATCTTATTAGCAATGACAAAAGTTAAGCCCGATTTTAAGTTGATGATAAATTCTAATTTCAACTCCGTACCAGCACATAATGAAAAAAAAAACAAAAAAAACCCCCCAAGCAAGCATTTTCAAAAAGGATTTCGAAAATGGTACAGGAGAAAACAGGTGATAGATTGTGATGGAGGCCTTCGACTGAAAATAAATCTAACCTGGTGGTAGGTGTACATAATAAATTAGCAACTCCGAATAAAACACACACACAAATATACAGGTATGTAAAAACTCATTTGTTACTGCGTTCTCTGTTCATACCAGGGGCATGCCTTAAATTCACAAGTGCTACATTAGTAATTTAACCAATTTGTTTTTTTATTGATAATTTTTTTTTATAAGTTGGCTTTCCAACTCAGAAATAAAACACTTTCTTTTTAAATGTTGTGTATTGCACACTCAGAATTTGGATTTACAGTGGACAAGCGCTTATGTGAAGGCTAGTCCTTAGTGCTTAAATCCCTTTTAAACAAGATCTTCCTTATACAGAAGTCCAAAACGAGTATACATGACAAGGAATGAGCAGTCATGTTCTGCTGGCAAAAGAGACAAAAATATACATCCTCTCGGTTTACAGATACAAAAAATGTGTTTGAAAGGGAAGCAAAATAAGAAACGGTCATGTAGCACGCTGGCTTCAGTTCTCGGAATCCTGTAGTATACTTTACGGTGTTGTTTTTTAGGGCCCGGTGCCAGTTTTCTTCTTGCGTGCCCTATCCCATGTTTTTATTTGTGGAGGTCCCAGAGTTGCAATTATGTTCATGTAAGAAGTCCGTAATATTCATCTCTCCGAGTTTTTGCATTGTCTCTCTCCATCTCTTTCTTCTGATCTTGCTCCAAGTCCTCAGCATTGTCTAGTTCCTCACCGCCATGTTCCTGCTGCCGTGTAAAAAAGAAAAAGCAGATTATTGACAAGTTGGCAATCTCCCCTCCAGAAAAAGAGAGAAGAGAAAAGTAAACAAAATAGATTATTCACTAAACAATGTGTTGTGGTGAGATAAAAATCAGGCTTTCAAAATGTTGGCCAAAATAGCCAGTTGGAGAACTTTTCCCACCACCCAAAAACAAGTTCAACCTGTATGATTAAATCCAAAACAGTGTATATTATTATTGCCATTTATATAGTGCCAACAGATTACGTAGCGCTTTATAATAATATGATAGGTGGGATTTAACTACAAATAGGACAATTACAAGAAAACTTACAGGAACCATAGGTTGAAGAGGGCCCTGCTCAAACGTGCTTACAGTCTATTCTACAGCCTGACCAAGTACAGCATGTTTTACCCTGTCAAAGAATGTGGATCCCTCAATTCTATTATTTTCTACTCCGCTAACTTTGTTGTAATTTTTGTGAAAACCCTAAATAAAGAATTTTGAGAAAAACAAAACAGTGTAGTAACCAAGGGCACTTTAAAATCAATTTATTGGTGTGGTCCGAGGCTTAAGCGGTAAATACTTTTGGTGCTTCTGCACAAGTCCATCGTTTTTGGTGTTAAGGGTTATAGTGTAGGCAACTCCAAATACAGATACATCTCCCCTGATGCAATAAAGGTATTCAACGTACCAGCTCTACCTTACCTATTCACATTCACAGAACGTATGGAGTCAAGTTCCTGTTTTAAACCATGTTAAAACGTTATTTGATTTTTAATATTCATTCTTTTTATTTACGGGGCAGGTAGAATATTGTCTGCTTTCAAACACGGGTTGTTGGAGCTCCCTGACTCTTTCCAAAATTAGCATGGAGTACATTTCTTCAACTGCTATATATTACATATAAAATATAATTTAGCAAAACCTCTTCATAGACTCCGTTCTAGGTCTCAGACTTCTCCCCTCAACTATGGGTCACTAAAGCAGTTATGGTAAGCATCTCTTTTCAGCATTTGCCCAGGGACCAATACATATTATCCTATTTTAAACCTGTTGATGTAGACAGCAATATTGAAGAGAATAGCTGCCATTTTTCTCCATGGTTACTCAATGATTCTAAAGCTCAAATGTTGAGGATTAAGAGAAATTGTTCAGATAAGGTTTTTAAAATGCAGGCACTCAAGATCCAAGACGATTTTAAACAGAAAGGTTATGATGATATTCTTTTGAACAAAGCATTCAAAGAACTGGATATTAAAGATAGAACAGAATTATTAAAATATAAGCAAAAACAAGATACTAAAGACACAAATAGCATCGCATTCATATGCGACTTTAGCTGTAAGAGTCTTCAACTTAAATTAAAATAAATATTGGCCATTACTGAAGGAAGATGCCGTATTAAATCAAATACTCCAAGAACATCCTATAGTTACTTACAGGGGGCTACCAAGTCTAAGGACGGGTCTGACGAGCAATCATATTAAACCACAGAACGTCCACAAACCCATTTTTTAGAACAAGGTTTTTTTTTTAATGGATGTGGCTATTGTGGGGCATGTAAGAACTCAGGAATGAAAAAGAGAGACATAAGTTTCAACCACTCTCAGAATAAAAACAGAAAAATTATAAAATAAACCAATTAATAACCTGCCACAGTAAGAGTGATCTACTGGATTATCATATGTGGGAGAACCAAGAGAACATTAAACACTAGGATACAGGAACATATACGAAACATTAAAAATGGATTTGAAAAGCACAGCCTCTCATATTTTAAACAAAAACATAAATCTGACTCAAAACACCTTAAAGGACCACTATAGGCACCCAGACCACTTCAGCTCAATGAAGTGGTCTGGGTGCCAGGTCCCTCTAGTTTTAACCCAGCAGCTGAAAATATAGCAGTTTCAGAGAAACTGCTATGTTTACACTGAGGGTTAATCCAGCCTCTAGTGACTGTCTCACTGACAGCCACTAGAGGCCGCTTCCGCGACGCCGACGTCCATGGGAAAGCATTGAGTAATGCTTTCCTATGGGCTGTTTGAATGCGCGCGCAGCTCTTCCAATGCATGCACATTCAATGCTGACGTCAGCAGGAGGAGGAGAGGTCACTAGCACCGAGGGAGCCCGGCGCTGGAGAAAGGCCATGAGGGTGGGGGGGACCTAAGGTCTACATAGTGCCAGGAAAAAAAGAATTTATTTTCCTGCCACTATAGTGGTCCTTTAAATGTATGGGAATCCTGAGAGTTAATATCAACTGGAGAGAGGGGATTTAATTTAAAAAAAAAATGGGCCAACTAGAAATGAGGTGGATATTAAATCTTAATTCATTATTGCCATTTGGCCTCAATAGAGATTTCGAAAATTTGCTGTTTTACCTTTTTTATTTTCCATTTTAATTTCTCCCCCCCCCCCCATGCCGCATATGTATAAAAACAGCAAATATGGAGGTAAAACTACAATTCTCATGTAGTACTGATCCTTACAATATAGACGAGATTAGCCGGTTCCTATTCGCCAAAATATGAACCCTCCTCGTATGGGGAGGTGCTCGGCACAACATTTGTATATTGTCTAATGTAGAGACAGGGCAACTGCTCTCAATAGTAATGGTGAAATGGAACAAGGTAGTGATGTAAGCACATAAGTTCTGTGACTCCAGGTATACAATTACATAATTATAGACAGCAGGAAGGATTTCAACACCCCCCAGTCCGATTGGACAAACCATTGCCCAAGGCAGTA